GGGAGGAGCGACTTCCGAGCCCTGAGGCAGAGAATGGTCCGCCCAGTATGGCGGGGAAGAGGACCGGAGAGGGCCGGGACAAGTACCCTGACCATGCCTGCCTACTGAGTAATTACTGAGCTGAGCTGTATTGCTGGCATTGTTCACAATTATTAGAATTATTATTTTGTCAGATAATTGATAACTGCAGTGAGAACTTTATTCAGTGTCTTTCTATAACTTTTCTTGCTGATCTCTGCTGTGAAGTCCCATGCTGCTTGTATCCCAGGCCCTGCAATAGCTCTATTTCTTCAGCTTTGAACTTTCCCGTCCCTCTTTCCTGCTGGCATAAGCTTCGACATCTTTTCAGTCTTAGCTGGACACTGCATGTTCTAGGAATCTGGCTCGGAGTGTCTCCAGTGGACTTAAGCAGCCTCCCTGAGCTCCCTCTCTCAGTTGTACTGAGTGCACTGCAATACAAGCTCGTGTTTTAGAACTCTCTTCCCTGGGATTGATTCAGGTACTATATAATCAAGGGCTGTGTCTTACTCCCAGCTGGATCCCCAGGGTTGGGTTTGAGCAGGTCATTTCATGCATTTAATGCCTAAATGCTCTTGTAGACGGGTGGATGGCCAGATGGAGAGATGGAACGAAGCATACATGCTACAGAAATTTGCTTCTAACCGAGTATGTTTCAAGGCAAGTTTCAGTATGACAACCTTACACTATTGATGAAATATAGAGTATTGTACAAACTCTTCTATACTGAAGATTTCATCAAGGAAAGTCCCCAAGGGAGAATATGTTATTAAAATTCTAGAACTTTTAAAATGCAAAGGAACCCTTTTCATCATTTAACTTGTCTTTTTTTTTTTTCTTCCGGTACCAGCAATCGAACTCATGACCTTGCGCTTGCCAGGCTGGCGCTGTGCCGCTGAGCTAAAGCCCCAGCCCCGCTTTTCATCATTTAAATGTCTCCAATTAATAAAAAAAGGAAGCTGTGGACCAAAGAGAGGAAGTAAGTTGCCAAAGTCACCCTGTTCCTTAGGATCAGAGCTGCAACTGGTAACCTGGTGTTCAGATTATCAAAGATCATGCCTGATATGGTCTACTTCCAGGCTCCCAAGCTCCCAACACTGACAATGACATTCTCAATCAGTGGAGATAAATCAGACTCTGGGCAGAAAGGCTACTATGCCATGTTTTTGGCGTTCAGTATTTTTAAATGTGATGCATTTTGTGAGAAGGAAATCACTTTATTCGGTAGCTTCTAAATCCTCAGGCATCTGAATACTTCTAAAATCATTTTATTTTCTAGCTCAAACACATAATGCTTGACCTGCTTGGTAGATTTTTTTTCTTTTCCTATCCATGGAGTCATAAGGTAGCAAGTTTGAATCAAAAATAATTAGTAAACATTTGAAAGTGAGAAACAAATTATTCCCAGAACACTTAGTTCTTTCCTTCAAATACACACTTGAAAACTGCTATGACTATTCCATAAGAATGCTTGAATCTCTCCCTAAATCATAACATGGGTAAATTCACTGAAATATTTTTACAATTTTATTAGAGGTTTTAATTCACTGCTTTATCTATCTCTGTTAGACTACAAAATAGCTTTAAATATTCAAGTGGTAATTAATGAATCTTTTATGTTGCAAATCAAACATTTTCATCTGTGTGCTGATGGAGTAGCAATAAGGAAGGATTTAAAGAATAACTGTTTCTCCCTATTCCACACCCTGGACCAGTGTTTCATCACATTTGGGAGTGGGTTTGTGTTCCTTACATAGTGGGCTAATACTCAGCATGGACGAAGTTCGCTGTCTTTCTGGAGGTCAGGGTTTCTTGACATGTTTCTGGCCAGAGACTTTCCCGACTGCATGGAAAGTCTTCGAACGTGGAATTTTTGCTTGAGTGCAAAATAATAAAAAGCATGTGTATGTTAAGAAAGGATCAGCCTAATGGCAAACGAGCATTGGCTTACATTAATATTCTATTACAGTAAAAACTTCTATTTAATAATTTTCTCCAGGCTTTTTCCCCCCAGAATTTCACATATTTTTCTAACTGGCATGCCAACCTAAAGAAAGTCTATATGATACATTTGATTTATGTTAAGTCAATACTGTGCACAAGCCATTTAAAATTGCATTTTGAGTATAGAAATATCAACCTAAGGAAACACACATCGTATCACATATTGAGAAGGACAAAACGTGTTAGCTTTTCAGGGGCTGAAGTGCCTTGCAAATATTATTCTATTTAGAAGATATTTTAAAAATGTGGTGTTGCATGTCAAGTGGCAAAAAAGCAAGACCAAAATCCTGCAATTTAGTTTAGGACCCCAAATTAAACTGGTGCTGGAGACTTCATGGATCAAAATATGTTTTCCTTCCTCCGTCATTACTGAGAAAGGAACTGGTGAGCACTGCCCCTTAGAAACGTGCACAAAGGGCCTGACAGATTCTTGATTGGAAGCCGTATCCGCCACCCTTGTTGTCCTATGGCACTGATTAATACTGGTCTTGGTGACATTTATGTATCAGAGCAATAAGCTAAACAGGAAACAATTTATGTCACCTAAAGCTTTTTAACAAATCGATGCAACTATTTGTAATTACTTGTTTCACAAGATTAAAAGTGCTCAGGCCTGATCTTCACCCACGGATTTGTGGTCAACCTGACCTGTGCTTCCGCTGTTTGAAAAAAAGAGAGAGAGAGAGTTGGTGATCAGCACGCACTTCCATCAAGTAATCCATATTGCTAATATTTCTGGAATTTTAATGTAGTTACAATTTATAGCCGATCCAATGTGGTTACCTAAATTGCTGTTGGTAGTAGACAGTTTAACTGTCTTTATTAATTACAGTATAATTTAATGTTTGAGTACCGGCACTTGTATTGGTCATTTTTACAGCTCGAGCAGTTATGTGCCTTATGACGAACCATTTTAGCATTTTCAATGGAAATTTGCTAATATGATGAGTGATAAAAATGTCACACGCTGGTAAATAATGATTATTGCTTTGGCTGAAATTAATTCTTGAAAGGCCGGTTACCTTCAAATTAACATGATAACATGAAGCTTGCCTGTTTCCCTCCCTATATTCTTGGTGTGAGTGTCCCCCATCAAAGACTATTGATAACTTCAAATGGATAAAATGTATGTATTATTATCTTAATGCCAATATATACGTGATTTTATAATCAGACCAGAACTAAGATGACATAGGGTTGCGTTTCTTCAAAAAATAGTTTAAAAGTAAATATGAGTAGGTTATATTAGAATGACGATTTTCTAATCCAAATATTGTTCTGTAGCTAAACCAGTGATTTTGTATTTAATTTAATTTCCTTCCAATGTGTATTGTCTTAAACCTTTCATCAGTCAGTGCCTTAAATGAAGGGTTGAAGCCCAACTTTATTAGAGTGAATACTTTTACTTGACTCAACTATAATGAAGATAAAAGATAAATTGTAATTACTCTCTATATAAATATGTAACATCATCAGTGTATAGAATCTAACAAGAGAGGCTAATTATTTATCTGTTGGGGGAGAATAAAGGAGAGGTTGTTGTAACATGAAGCTGCCTGTGTTGGGGTCAAATTAGTCTTAAGGCCCCCATTTAAAAGAAGAACTATTATTTTGGGCTTGCTGCAATAAATGTAACATGTTCCTGTTTTAGAATAATTCCTTCAATACAATTAAAAGTAATCTGTGCATCAGCCAGCAAGATCTTCACTTAAACAAGCTCTTTAGTTTATTAAAAGAAATACAGGGGCTGGGGATTTAGCTTAGTGGCACAGCGCCTGCCTGGCAAGCGTGAGGTCGTGAGTTCGATTCCCGGTACCGGAAAAAAAAAAAAAAAAAAAAAAAGAAATACATATCTACTTTAACCAACTGCATATGATGTTGTAACTAGTATTTATGCTAAAGGCTGACAATTGAGGAAATTTCAGTTATCTCTGACACTGTATTTTTGGTGGCCAGGTGAGAATTAAATGGTTTGCTAATTATCAGACTGAGGCTTTCTAGATAGTGGCCAACGTAAAGAGGATCCTCTTTTGCACCTTATGGGCAAAATCTACTTGTAAAAAGGAAATGGAAAACTTTCCTAATAGGGGTTTCTTCCAAACGGTGCTGGGAAAGCACGCTTACATTGTTCCTCAGCAACAGCGGGTATTTCGCTGAATAAAGACGGCACCATCTCCTGGCTCGCAGAATGTGCTCGGAATTACATATGTGAAACAGTTCTTACGTTAACATGGGTTTGGCTGCGTACAGCTTTTAGTGTACTGGCAATTTTACTTGTGCTGAAAGAGGATGCTCTAATTCATTAATCCTTAGCATACATAGGATAGTGTACTACTAAAGAGAAATAGGAATGTTTTGCTGAAGGTATGACATTTAAAAAAGAATCTCAACCAAGATGGTTTTCCTGGGACATTGAGGCACTAGAGTTCGATGTTTTCTCCAGTGAATGTAGTTGTCTAGCAGACTTTTGATAGAATATTTTTATAAAGTCATTTGTTCTAATCTAAGCATTTATCATTATATGCAAAAAGATTTCTTGATGAGAATATTATAGACGGTGCATGTTTTTGACATTAGCATTTTATTTGGATGACTAATCTTGCAGATGTGAAATTTTAATGAATTATTCATGAAATTGCTTTCCTCTGAAATTTTAGTTTGCTCTTAATGCAAGTTATTAAACATTTTGTTTTTCTTTATAAAATTTGATGAAGAGAAATAAGAGTGTGCTGCTGCTTCACGTGAACAGAAGGCCCCCCTCTTTCTTCCTTTCCCCAATTCTCTAAGTGGATACCTTCACTTGGAAATCTTATCCCGAGGATAAAAGCTTTAGCCTTCCCTGATGAGGAAAGCTTTTACTTATGATTGATTTTAATTCTGTGTTGGAAGCAGCTGGTGATAAACCTAAGGCATACGCCTAACATACAGTATCAGCAGGTCAGAGGGGGGAAAAAACTTAGGCTGTGGCGACTTTTGACTACCAGTGTGAACAACCAGCATTTTTATTGCATTTGAGAATGCTATAATGTCAGTAATTAGTACTGACTACACCACATTTTTTTTATTGTCTGTATCCACAGACATGGAATGATGGAATTACAGTGGATGTCAAGGAATGAGTTTCTTTTATGCCTTATCAGAACAAAACAAAACAAAAAAACAAAACAGTTGTTACTGGCAGCACATATACACGAAGCACCATGCTGACGGTCCAGACTTCGCCATCTCCAGCAAGGTTTAGGGGAACAGAGACTGCAGGGCCTATGCTGGGCCCACGAAATGCCTCTAGGATTGTAAATCTCATTCTCAGAACACAAGTGCAAAAATGGGTTGTAAAACATCCAAACTATCAGAGGGGTTTGCCATTAACCAGAAGGCACCCAAAGGATTCAAAATCCTTTTAAGTAGAGTCAGCTTTTTACCCTTGGAAATAGAGCTTGGCTGGACTGTGGAAAGGAAAGGAAATATTCTGTAATTTCAAATTTTTTTGGTGTTTAAAAAACTACTGATTTACACTGTATTTTACATTCGAATTCAAGGCTGTCTTTATCAGGTCTGATGGGCTGCAGGATGCTACGTGTATGTTAGAGCGGTCTGTGGGCAGGACTGGTGGTCACTCTTCAAGTAAATAAGCCTTGATAGTTCATTTCATTGCTAATGTGGCAGCCTAACTCGTCTTCTATGGATAGATTCTAGGGACAAGTAGGATGGATCCTCATTCCTGACAGTGCATTTGTCTCATACAGGGGACACTCTCCTTAATGTTCGCTTTTCTCTGAGGAAAAAAACAGTAACATTGTCTTTACATCTTGGCACCTTGTCAAGTTTTTTTTTTATACAAAAGTTCAGTATTTTCAACACTCCCCATTATTAGTCACTACTTCACTGATAAACTTTGAAAGTGTGATCCTGAAATTTCATCATGCAAAATATTTACTGCAGCAGAAAACATTTTTAAACATTTTTTTCTCTTTTCAGATGTATGAACTTGTTTAAAGATAGCCAGGAAGGCAGTGGTAGGATAAACACAAGGAATAGGAATGTATAAAAAAAAACAGATTAGAACACATACACACTCGCACTCACACGCACACACACACAAACCTGTACAAAATGCTCCAATCAATGAGAACAGGAAAAAAAAATCTGTCAACTATGTTACAATTTAAAAGAAAGAAAAGATAGGGAGTTTCTCCCTCCACATGTCAGGAAATGTCATCCAATATTCTTAAAGCAAGGATAACTAAATAAAATACATGTGCAGCAGATTCTGCAATTCCATTACATACAGTAGTTTTTTTTCCCAAAGATATTTTTTAGTATTGTTAATATAAAGCAGTTGCACAAAAAGCAAAGGTGTTTTGACAAACAGGTGTATGCATTTATTCCTTTTTAGGAACAATATCTAAAAAAAGAACCGCCCTCCGCCCTCCCCCAAAAAAGACAAAGATTCACACAGACACATCGGGATATATGTACAACATAATAAACCCCATCCTAAAGAAGCGATTGGAATACCCCCAAGGGATACAGAGTCAGAATTGTAAAAATCATAGTGAAGTTTTCTTGCTGTAAAGCCTGAGAAATTTTTTTTTTCAGTTGGTTCTTCTGCAGGACTGTGATGCCTGCAAAGACGTGTAAAATCTAATTTTCTTTTTTTCTTTTTTTTTCTTTTTTTGCTACAGTCTTTAGACTAAGCATGCAAGACATACGACTAAGTGCAACTGAGTGAAATGTATTTTTTTTTTTAAATTTTAATCATTCCCTAAAGGTTGAACTGAGGTATGCGTACTAACAGTTTCTCATGCTGTTATCTTTACTCATGTCTAGCTACACATGCTGAGAATGAACTAATCTACCAGATTTTTATCCTCTTTTGAATACCAAACTAACCAGCAACCACTCAGTTTAGAAGCACAGGGCCCCCTTCCCATGACCCTGTCTGGCTACTGCCTGCACAATATGAAGCTGCGAGTGACCACAGACTGCCCTGGATACAGAAAGCAGAGTGAAGCTTCAAAAGCAACTGCAAGACATTTTTGTACCAAGCTTATGAGCGAACGGGAGCGTTACTTTTTCTTTTTCTCTTTTTTTAAAACTAAAAATGCTGACCAAAGCCTAATCTGAAAACAAAACAAAAAACAAAAAAAAAGCAACAGGGAAAAAAAAAACAAAACCCAAACTAGAGGATATATGTTAAGATAAGCCAAAATTAATGCAGTGATCAGAGCACAGTCCTTAAAGAAAAGTGGCATACAATCATTCTAAAGTTTTTTTTTCTTTTAATTCTAGAAATACTATTATGTGGTCTAGTTCAATCACAGAAGCTTTTCCGTTCTTTCCGAATTCATCTTTACTGTCTCCTCTACGATACACCTAATTTCCAGTGGCATACATTCATGTCTTTGTCTTTGACATGGGGCTCTATTCCTTCTGTGCAACTGTAATACTGTGTCCTATTTTCATGTTGAGTAGCCCCACAATTTCTCTTTCTTTGTAAGACTAAGTTTTGGTCTCTGAAGAGGTACGGAAAGGAGAAGAAACAACTACTAGAAAAAAGTAACAACTTTGGTTCCATTACCTACTTGGTCTTCTGAATTTACCCTAGGATGAAGGAGCAGTTCTCTTTCTCAGGTTAGCAATAGCCTACAGCTCATCATTTGCCTCTAAATTCTTTCGCCTCCTTTGATCAACAATAAGAGGATATTTGGCTTCATCAGATAAAGCATAAAACAGAGAACATAATTTACCTTTGTGTAATATCTTTGGTAATTTTAGAAATAAAAGGTACAAAGAATATAAATTAAGCTCCAAAAGGCTCTTGAACTAAAAACAAAAGCTATAGTCCTAGATAAATAAATGTCAGGGTAGTGGGTGCGAGGTGGAAGTGTGGACGGGTGGGAAGGACTGAGGTTGTACTGACCCAGAACTAGCAAGTTCTGCGGGCCCTATGTGGCTCCCCAGAAGCCCAAGGCTGGCAGGATCCTCTGTCTCCCTGATGTCCTCTGCTACTTTCTGATACCGGGGTGGTATGACAATATTGCATAACAAACTGAACTGTAGTACTGAAGCTGCAGATTTGAAACGAACACCTTAGCATTGCTGGACTCAGTCCTCACTACCTCCCATAACAAGTTCAGTCTGAAGTTTAATTTGCGTTCAAACAGATTAATGCCGCCAAGCAGGTCTGAACTGACGTATAAACCCAGTGCCATCGCCACGTTCAGCAAAGCTGCTTGGGGAAGCTGGCTTTTGGTCGTTCTGAAAACAAAGCAACCCTCACTAGTCACTCTCACTGTGTTATAACACAGAACCTGGGCCCACCCCCTCTGGTTTATAGGAGGGAGCGCCTTCCGCGGGACTAACATCAGCCTGATTATTAGGGGTTTTAGATTCTTTCACTCTGGTGCTGCCTATGTTTTCTTGTGCTAGTAGAATGCTGTGGCATTTCTTTCAAATGATGATTACTACAAAAAAGAAAAAAAAACCCGGAAAATCTGAAAATTCCCTTGCCACCCCCAGTACTGCTTTGCGGAATGAGCCTGCATTGTCCCTAGTGTGTGTCTCTATTTTTTTCTGTCATTCATTCTCTTTCTGGCAGGACGTCACGCTTGTGTGAGAGGACTTCCATGTGTAGAGAGAGTGCAGCATTTGGGACCTTTTAGAAAAAAGACCAAAACGGAATGTTTTCTGACTTTAGAGAAAGGTGGTGATGTCTGTAGGAGAATGGAATGAGTGACAGAAAACTACAAACGAGAAATGACATTCAGCTTTGTATAATAAAAACACCTATTAACATTCATCACAAGGTACAGAAAACTTTAAGCCTCCAAGAGGCCGTGGGCCCAAGTGGAGGCCTGAGGTCAGAACTTAAAATGGTATAGTAGAAGCAAAAAAAAAAAAAAAAAAAAGCAATACATTAAAAAGTTTGGGATAATTATTTTTTTCACCCCTCCCCCCAACACACACACGAAGGCCTTCCCCATCCCAACCGGAAGCAAAAAAAAAAAAAAAAAGGAATAAAGGCAGTGATAATCAACATGCAGTACTGTGCAAATAGGTCGTCCATTGGAATCCTTAATTCTGGGCAAAGGCTTGGTCTGCAGCTTAGGTGCACAAGCTCAGTCGGGTGTCCTCAGAGTCCAGCGTTGGCAGGACTACAGTTCAAAGTCTGCTGCTAAAAGTAAATCAGTTTAGCAAATTTACAACACTGATGTTGACTGTTAAGAGAGGAAAATCCCAAGTACCAAACAAGTCCATCCAATGCACAGAGTACAAATTCCTTTTTTCAACAAAAAGTAGAAAAATCAAAAATACTCCCAAATGGGATTCTTGATGGCACTAAGAGTTAACACATTTCAGAGTTGTCAAGATGTAGTGAAAATCCTCCAGACTGTACAACAAATGGAGAACAATTTCACTGCTGACTTTTTGACGTGTTTTGTTTTGCTTTTCCCCCAGTCTTCATTCTTGGGGTCGGCCCGCCCAGATGTTCACTCTATGTCCTCATTTACTGCTTCGTCTTCGTAATCTCTGTCATGATCAAAATCTGGACTGTGGTTGGCTGTTGTCACTAAGGACAGAGGCCCTTCAGCTTCCTCTGGGTCGAGGGGCTCTTCTTTGACGTGAACAGGATGCCTGGAGAAAGAAGCAGAGGTTCAGTGGGGGCATCTCCCAGCACAACACAACCCTGGTGTTCAAGGCAACCTAAACGTCACACTGCACAGCTGCACGGTCCGATACAAGAGCCCCTGGCCGTGTGTGCGTTTGCTCGGTTGCACTAGCCACATTTCTGGCGACCAGCGGCTTCCATACTGAACGCCCAGAGACAGCAAGTGTGGATGAAGGCACAAAGTTCTTTTGGACAGGGCTAGAAGTGCATGATCTCTGGAAGAAGCTGGCCTGTCCTCCTCCCCTGTTTCTCCTGTTTAACTGTGTGCCCCATCACCCGGGGACCTTGTTAAAATGCAGGGTGGGAAGCAGCAGGCTGCGGGGTAGGCCTGAGACTCTGCATTTCTCACGAGCGATCTGGTGCTGCTGCTGGTCCTTGGACCACACACTTTGAACACCGGATAACAGGCCCCTTCGTGGCTTCCTAGGTGGATGAATACCAATCTTCAAATAATTACATGAAATGAGAATCTGTAATATAACGGTGGTTTGTGGGGACCACTGAGCACAGAGGCTGGGCTAATCGTGGCTTGCTGTGTGTTCTGCTTTGCTAGTTAACATGCAGAACCTGTGAAAGAACTCTCCAGAGGACGACCCCAAGCGAGGTTCTATCATTAATCAACTTCAAGCAAACACAGCAAAGAGACACCATGATACATGCTTGAAACTCCAAATTAATGCATATTTTTACAAACTGTCAATAAGGCAAGAAAAGCCCTGCCAGGAAACACAAACGGAGAGGAAAAGGCTCGCTCAACACAACAATATGATAAGAAAGCAAGCCCCAATCAGAATAATAACGCTGTCAGCTGTAAACAAGGCAAAACATGAGGCCTGGCTGGTAGCGGCCACAGGACAAGCGCGGATACCATGAGATCTGCCAACTTTCTCATTATGGGCCAGCTCTTGGTTCACAGGGATGGGGGCGATCGCACAAAACCACTCTGATAACAATTGAGAAATGTTGTTCGTAAATCATATTTACAACTGATCCTTTGCAAATACAAATTACTTTCTGTTGCAGGGCTTTTGATATGTAAAAGAACCATTCAAGTTAAAATGCTCCCATCTCTGGGATGGGCTGCAGAAGAGAGGATTTTTTAAGTTGACATTATCAAGTATTAGTAATAAGAGGTGGTCCTGGGGATGGCTGGCTGCCTAAATAATTGATACTGTATGCAAACCCCGAAGGCCCCTTGAACCATTTAAAAACAAACAGGAGTGCTCTGGACTGTCCTTGAAGATGTGAACCATCAGAATCAACTGACTCTAAAATTAGTGCAGTGTACAGGGTGTTTCAGGGGCTACATGTCCGACAAACAGCTTTAAAAAATCATGCCCATATTCTTAAAAATCATTTGCAAAAAACAGTGAAAACTTGTTTTACTCATTTTTTACATGTGGCTCTCCATTTATTTGTAATAGTCTTATTTATCTGTGTTTCTGCAGTCAGACCCAGGCCTGCTACATGATGTGTGAAGCCCAGTGGAAAATGAAAATGCAGGGTCCTAGAGCAAGAGTTTAGAATTTCAAGAGAGAAATACAACATTAAAACACAGGGTGCTGTGGGACTGCTTAAGTCGTACCTGTGTGGTTCGTCCTGATAAAGGTTCCTGACTTTCTTCTTCTGGGACCAGCTAGGTGTACAGGTTATCACTCCTTTAAAAAAATCACTAATAAACTGCTAATTAAGGTCAGTTTTTCCTTTTGACTGTCTTCCTACTACAAGTCACACTTTATGTGTTACATGCGGAGCAGGTATATTCATTTCGTTAGCGTTTTAGTTATAACTTTTACGGCTATCTGAGCGTCCCCTGTGTTAATGCATGTCAGTTCCTAACTATTGGGCCTCTGGTGTTCCTCTTCCGTCGCCCTTGTTTCACTGTCTGCATAGCACACTAACCATTTTTATCCAGGAATTGTTCTTCCTCTGCTGATTTACCACTTTAGATACATCTCTAAGAAAGGAATTGTTGGAGAAGCAAAGGCCAAAACATCTTTACGGTTCTTCTGATTTACTGTGATATTAATTTCCAAAGGGGCTGTTTCAACTAAAATCTCATCAGTACTCAGCATTATTTTTTTTCAATTTGTTGCTTAGCATGTCCGGGTTATTTGCAGGTTACTTTAAACTATGTTTCTTGGATTACTAACAACACGGACTAGGTTTCACTTTCATAGTTTCACTGTAGAGAATTATTACTTCATACATTACTCTCACAAGTTCCACTGACCGTGTGCTTTTAGTAATGTCCACTGGTAGGAATCTTTGTTTCGTTTAGCCACGTACTAAGGCTCAAATGTTATTTTTCAGATTCTCATTTTCTCCCTTTTATTATTTTTTATGCTATTAGCTTATTAATCTTTTTAGGCTTATAAACTGGCATCTGATCATACAAGGTAATGAAGCTTTCGGTGGGAGTGAAGATGGGACTTCTTAAAACAAAACAGAATGGTCTTAATGAAATTCTTGCTTCATAACTGGAGACTGTGACAGATGTTTTGGTAAGCTGGGCAATACTACAGCAAAAGAGACCTAGATACACAGAAAGTCTCCACAAAACAGAAGTCAGAGTATCAGAGAATATTTTGTTCTCCCCAAAATTCACTGAATATTTATAAACCCAAAGCCAGGTCATGACACTATCAGGCTGGGTAGCTTGACACAGGATGGGACTCGGACAACTGTTAAGAGCCAGACCCACTATGTGACAACCAGGTTCGACAGCAAGGCCTTGAAGACTCCAGAAATCCAGTCTCAGTGCATTTCTTGGAAAGAGCAGATAACCCGCGTGTAACAAATGTTGCACAGGTATACAGAGCCTCAGGAAACTAAACAACGGATTCTCGTGTAAAAATGCAAACTATTTAAGACACAACGTCTCAGATTCTTCGAAGCTGGAGCTTATGATGGACGTTTTGCCCCGTGGAAGCCCTCAGGCCCCTGCCCCACTACCCTTTCTCTCCAACATCTACTTCCAAAAAGGCTACCAGTGAATAACTGTGCAAAACCACACATTCCCCTTCCCCTTACATCTGAGTAATTCCTTTGTTTAGCCACTCTGGGAACACAGGAGTTTTTAAATAAAGCTGACTGGTGTTTAAATGCATTGTGTCCTGGGGGTGCATGACAGCACGCAGCATTTTGCTTTACAGCTCCTTTAGCTCCTATCAGGATAAAAGTGTAATCCCCCAGAGCCATCACTGTGTGACTCCTTTCTAGTACTGGAGAAGAGTCACACACGGGAAGGGTAAGAATCAAGAGTTCTGTTTCAAAACTGGGAATGAGCCGGGCTGCCATCTTAAGCTTCCGTAAGCCTTGCTGTAAAGTTTATGACTTGATTTATTCCAATAGACTGGAACAGTTAAAAAACAATCTGCATCATAGCAGGGCAATGCATATGGGCGTGAAGGAAAACTATGTCATTACAGAATTCGCTTAATGGAAATATAGGGTCAAAAAGAGTAACCTTCTAGGACACCGATAGCAGCCACACGGAATCTGCTGTCGACACAGAACTACATTTAGCAGACAGTGTGATCCAGAGATTTATTTGAGCAATACATTTTGACATCTTTGTATTGGGTTTCTTTCTTTCCCTTCTAAAAAAAAAGAAAGAAAGAAAAAAACAGCCGAAAACTGTTTCATTTAAAATTATGATGACTGCTGTAAAACAGGATTTTTTTGTTAACACCAGGGTTAATTCAAAGTTGTTAAACAAGTGAACTCCTGGGTGACGGTACTGTGTCCAGTAAAATTAGCATGTTTCCAAAGAGTTGCCTGTGAAACTTCTATCCAAATATCTTTGTTTTTCTTTCTAGTGATCCTCCGTGCTACATAACAGGAGAAATAGTACCTCTTTTATTCTGTAACTTCAGACGTTTATTTGCTCAAGTGAATATGTCTTCAAGTAGCTCATATGCCGATTTACATTTTCTCTGAACTTCCTTCCTATGTAAGTAAACACTCCTGCCATGAGCATGATTTAAAGATGAATATGAGTGTGAACATAACAATAAAGTCAGAAACACCAGGTTGCTTCAGAAAGGATGAAATATGGCAGCATTACTGCGAAAGATAAACGCTTTCTTAAAATGTGAAGTAAATGCTGAGAGACTTGTTCATATAAATTAAAAATTATTATTTCCATCTTTAAAGATCCCTTTCAAAGCACTCTGGGCATGAAATGCAAATGCTAGAAAATCAAATTTCAGATTCCCCTGTACCCTCCAATTATGCTGAGAGATAACGTTTTTTTCGTCGTCATTAGATGCCAATTCATTCTGTTCCTAATTGCTACAGGTCATATTTTCCATTGCTATCACTCACATTATCTTAAAGTAAGATGCTGGTCAGTAATTCAGGAGTGCAGACAGTGGCTCATTCCAGGAGCTGACAGTATTACAAACACTGAATTGGTTTATTCACTTAAAGTGGGCCACAGTTTTGCAGAAATTCACTAAAAGGGGAAGACTGTCACTCTACAGCATCCCCCGCGAATCCAATCACTTGGAATAACGTGGGTTCTTTTCTCTGCTTTAGAAATGTTCATGGGAGAGATGGGGGCTATTGCAGCGGTACCAACTCTCTCCTGTGACCCACCCACGAGGGTGTCCTCGCCCGGTGGCATTCACATGCAGCGTGGGCCACCGTCACCCACCACTCCATGCAGTTATATGTGCACTCATTACACTGCCGTCTGCTACTGTGATGCTCCTATTAATTTTCCTTTTGATATTTTAAGAGCGATCTATAAATCACGCCGCCTTTCATTTGTGACATCATTAACGCTTGGTAATAACGCTGCCCCGTCGCGTTCGCACTGTTCAACTTCGCACACAACCACGTAAACAAGCGTCTTTTTCTCTCTGCTAGGTTCGGCGTGCCTGAACGCTGAATCAACTGCCAGCCTTTCCAGATATGCGTACTACATTTTGGAGAGAACCACAGTGAGGTTTACATAATGGCCTGAGATACAAAGCAGAGAAAAGAAAGCAAACACGTTTTCCATTTTACTGCTGTGTGCCCTTGTAGGTTAGATGAAGCTGATTACTTCTATGGGAAAATTAACAAACAGTCCTTGTATTCACCAACATTTCTAGAAGCACAAACTTCTCCCTGTGTTCTACAAAATCAGGAACCACAGGAAAGGAATCTACAGAGGCCAGAGAAGGGTCTGTGTGATAGAAAACCGGAAGCTTGGGGTCTGATGCAGAGGTCCTTTGAGGGGACAATACTCACACAGCTTGCATAGGGGATCTGCCTGGACTGCTGTCACTCTCGTTGCTGTTCGTGTGTTCCATGGCCCCATTCAGCTCCTCTCGTATGGCGCTGGCTAAGTTGCCCAGAGTGGGATTTCCCATGGAAGCGGTAGTGTATAGAGGTATACTGTTCTCAGCCATTGAAGCCTGCCACCGACCAAGAGAAAACTTATGAAGACACAGGGTATGCAAGACAAGGAAGCTATGAATTACAGGTGTATTCAATAATCTTCAGTTTAAATTCACTGTAGCATGGTTGGCAAACTCAAATTTCAAAGAAGTGTAGAAGGATACTGCTTTAAAAGTGACTCATGCACACGTCCCAAGCATGGTTTAGGTTTTGAAAAACTAACTGGAAGAAGCAAAGTGCCCTTTGGGAGTAAGTACTCAATTTGGTCATGCTTGGTGCAGTCACATGGCTTAGATGGGGGTATTTAGTATGAGATTTATATCTGCTGCTTTTTTTCAAGAGGAACTGAATATTTCTAGATCACAGTGAAATGTAATGGAATTTTCATGTCTTTATCCATTTTGATGACTCCACTATTGGATAGCAAAGATCTGATCAGATTATTCTGGCCATACCGCTCAAATTTATGAGAACTTCCATAAACAGTTACCTCTTAGATCCTATAGAAAAGGAAAAGATTATAGAATTGGAATCAATTTCTATCCCCCCCATCATTTCCGTTTGAATGATTTTTCAATCTGTTTAGTGAAGTTGGAGATAACTGGTTGAGGGTAACACTGTGTGATCTTTCAGACTCAGAGCAGTCACCTGGGATTTTAGGACCGAAGAAAAATCTCTGGCAAAGAGGAAGCTCTAAATCTTATTTCTACTTGGTACCTAAGCACACCCATATTAAAGGTGACAAAATCACTCCAAGTGAGTGTCAGCAAAAAAAGTAGAAATGGAAGGAAAAAAACCCACCTACATTCTATGTTAGGGTACTATTTACTTCCTATCCTACTACCTTTGAATAAAATGGCCCCCCTGCCTACAAAGGAGACAGTAGTCAAATATACCACTGGACTAAAATGTTTGTATTTTTTTCATTTGTAAGTAATTAGGAAGCAGTGATTTTTCATTTTATCGAAGAGAACAGACTTTGAAAAACTGGCAGCTGTAATTAGACCAAAATTGATCAAAACTGTCCTCTTACAGACTACACTATGCGTGCTTTTCTATCCGAATGAGAAAAAAGTACAATCACAAGACAATCTGGCATGGTGACTTCAATTGGCCCATCATACAAGAGTCCAAACTATTTTAGAAATCCTGGCAATAAAGAGAAGGTATGAGCCAAATACGAAGAAAAAAGGGAGCAAAGCTGGGCAGCAGGGTGTCTGCCTATTACGACAATTGCAGCCTCACTCACTGTACGAACTCCAAAGCCAGCAATGCTTTCTAGAGATGAGCCCACGTGGGCCGGTACACACTCACCTGACCCGACGGTGGCCCTCTGCAAGCCCACAGCTTTTCCTTTCCTCTGCTTTTGAATGTATCTAACTGCTTTCTTTTAAAAAGTAGGGAAAAGATCCTGTTTTAATTTCCCAATGTGGTAAACTCATTTTAATGAATGTTCCCCACTTTCCTATTGTGCGTTAAATAACTTGCATTAAGTACTTTTTTCAATCTTCGATCTCTTATACATGAAATAAAGCATTTTTAGAGTTTTGGGCAAAGCCGTTGGTGTAGCAGTAATTACTGTTGCAAACTGAAGCTGGAAAACCATCTCTGCTGTATTTTAGACAACGAAATGGTGACACCTCTCCTAGTCATGGAGACGCCACGGGTGAACTCACACAGTAGGCACTGACTAAGGCAGGGCTGTGGTTAGCTTCCTGTTTCTGCAGATTACCGAGCCAAAAATTGAAAAGTAAAAACAAAAATGAAACGACTGTTAAGAATATGTTCACAGGGATGAGCTGGTCGCCCTGCAGACAGGGTAACCCTCTCGGGATAAGTATTTATTCTTCTTGGCTCACAAAAGTGCTCTAGTTAAAACCATTTCTGACTGAGACTGGATCTTAGAGCATGGGTGGAGACCCAATCACCACAGTGAAGAAAGTCAGTCCAAGACCAGCCCCTTCCCTTTGATCTCTGACTCTCAGACAAGATATTCTATAAAGAAAACCACCCTTGTCCCTTTAAAAAACAAGACAGGGACTGCAGAGAGATCCTGGTGCCTCACCAACCACAGCACCTCTTGAATACTCTTTGTTGAGTGAACAATCTGAGCAATCCACTTCAGGTGAGAAAAATTTTCACCAACCGCTTATACCTGACAGTGTTTCTCTACAGTCAGTGTCCTCTTAGGAGCAGCCATGTCACATGTTTTATAATCGACTTAATTATATGAATGGTCCTTTGCACAGTACGTGGCTTCATGTCAAACTGGCACCTCTGCCGAAGAAATGAAGGTGCTTAAGTAATGGTGCAGAAGTCCGTAAGTACTGTCGCTTCGGGAACATTAACTGCTCTGAGATCCTCGGGGGAAAGGCAGTCTATAAATACGAAGCTTTACGGTTACCCTTAGTTACTTCACTTTTTCAGAGCATAATGCAATCTGTCCCAAGTTCCATGTTTTATTTCTGTAGTGGATTCTGCTGTCCTATTTTATAAATTGTATATCATACATTATGTTGCGCTAGTAATTCTTTAAAGATATTGTTCCACTATTATTTTTACTTGCCTTTGAAAATGGGTGATAATGGAAAAGAAGGCCTGCTGGTAGACTCTTTTATTTAATTTGCACAGCGGAAAGTTATCTGATGACTGTCTACTGATTAAAGATCCAAATTCATAGAAAGGAGGGAAATAATCCACTCCTCAAACCAAGACTTTATAGCAATTTATTTGCCTTGCTGGGGCCGTTCTGGGGAGTGGCAGGATGCTTTCTGGCTGCCACAGGAACGCGCAAGAGCACAGAGGGTGCAGAAGCAAACAGCTTGGAGAGACGCGAGCAGCGTCGTCACGATAAAGCACGCTAATTGAAATCAGTCGCATAGTTAAGGGAGGGAATCCAGAGGATGGAGGAGCATTTTTATTTATTTATTTTGCTTTTCCGCATCATGAATGTAAAATGTGCTGGTAATTTTAATACTGTTCCAGATAGCGCCGCCTTTAAATTCACACTTCACAAGACTCCAGGGAAAATAAGTTACTAATGAATGATATTTACAGTGGCAGCGTGTAAGTGCGCTTTCATTTACTCTTCTGAAGTTATGGTGTAAACTACAAGTAATTAAAAGAAACACAGAAAGTAGTTTCTCCTATTAAATTTAGTTCAGACTAAAAATAAATATAATTACTGAAATGCTAAGTTCAGTGAATTTGCTGCGGAACTGGGTAAAAGGCACATCCATCAGGAGCCTTAGGATGCTGCTAGAGATCAGGCAAGCTGGGTTTTGTAGGACACAGAGTAGTTGCTCAATAAATATTTGCTTACTAAACAGTGAGAACCAGGCTCCTGTCAGTATTGCCTCCTTTCCTATCCTGTTCCCATAATGCCAAGCGTCTCAACTGCTTTTTCAGTTTCCGTTTCTCTACTGCTGCTCTCACTCCAAGAAATTTTTAATATGTTTGTGTATCTGGAAAGGCACAGGCCAGTACAGAATCTAAGAACCCGAGTCTGGCTGCCACAGCCCCCATGGGGGAGGCGTGAAGTGCAAGTCTACAATGGCGTTAGATTACCGGTGTCAGCCGGCTCTGCATCTGAAAAGCTCTCTTAGGACAGTCTGGGTAGGCACAAAACCAAGAGGAGGTCCTGAGAACTCTTCTGGGGAACCTGAGCACTACACCCAGGTACCCCTGAGTAGTTCTGTGAACTGGAGAGGCAGCTTGGCTATGTGGCAGATGGAAAGTGCAGTAAGGAAAAAGGTCCTGCTGGGTGTGGCCTCCCTCCTGCTCAGACCGGTGCGGTCTCTCTTGCTCAGGACCACTGTGATGTAACAAGCGCTTCGTCAGAAGAAAACGAACATTCTATGCAGTTACCATGTAATCTTGACCGACCTGCCGGAAATCTGGAGTTTTTTCTGAAGCACCTCTACTGCTTAAATACTAGTATTTTACTTACCCCGAGTGACCTAACCCCCCAAAACAGATGTGAAAATGGACTTTAAAAGAAGCGGGAGAAACACAAAGCTCTGCTTTCTCTTTAAACCTGTGAACAATAGAAGGTCATGTGATGCAGTGGCCTATCATCCAGCACATTAATAGCTGTGCTAGAGTAATTACACTTGTGGTATTTTTGCCTCAAGTGAAATTCTGAAATAAGAGGATGGAAATTATGATACTGCTGATAAATATTAATAAGTGAACTTTTAATTTTTTTGCCACAATATTCAAAATGCTAAGCATCCTGCTAATGCTGAAGCAGCCCGATGTGTTTGCCTCCAGGGAGTACGATGCTTTGTGCACTTAAGAAAAAAGTTTAACGGAATTAAAATTTAATATCTAATTAGAGCGAGGCTAATATATTTTGAAATGAGTGGGGGAGACATGTGCCTCTGCTGCATATTCGGGGTGGCCGTTAATCTTACCTGTAAAGCTGCATTGAGAGGTGTGCAGTAGGCGTGGCTGCTCTGCATGTTTTTAATAAGGGAAGGGTTACTGTGTGAGAAAAAAGATAAAAACTCAAAGTTAAACGCAATTGACCCATGAGTTCCTAGCTAAGTTTCGTTTTAAGCTTGCTGGTAGCCTTCCAAATTAGAAATGTTGCCCACTAGCCAAAGGACAGTTAAGCTTTCTCCCTCTCCCATTTATAGGGTTGGTCTGCGCAAGCGCTGCTGGGGACAGACTTTGCTGGTCAGGGGAACTGAGGAGCCAGTTCTGGCTTCTGTAATGACAGGCTCAGGGACTCCCTCCTTGTAATAGCTGCCGACTCCAACAGGAAGGCAGGAGCCTGGAGACTGCGTGGGGAGTCAGTGAGCCCACAGCCGGGGTCCTGGCAGTGCGTGGGAACACTCTCCTCAGACCCCAAGCTCTCCAAGGCACATTGACTGGGGAGAGGAGGGGGCGCTGGGGAAGTTCACTCCCGAGCAAAGCGGGAGGCTGGGCTACAATCTGTCTTGTAGAGCAGGTCACAGAGGCATGAGATGATACGGTTCTGTCTCTGTATCAACTGACCAAAGGAAGCCAAGACAGCAATTTAAGAGCTCCTAGGCCTAGTAAGAAGGAACTACAAACTTGTACAACAGATACTGAATGGCTTCCAGTAGGAAATTACCCACATTTTTCAATGGACTCTTAAGGAAGTACTGTATACATGATATTATCAACTTACCCCTATAACTGGAACATTTTATTCATCTCATTATATTACACTATGCTAAGTGAACAAATAAATTTATCCCAACACATACAAATTTTAACTCTACATAGAAATCTCCTTTTGACTTGAAGGAATTATGGGTCACATAAAAATATTTAGGCATAGGGTCCCTGCAAGCTGCTGAATTGAAACGCAATAATTTGTATTAAAGACGCCAAAAAAGCATTATTCAAGGCACTGGTGTTCCAAAGAGAAACAAGAGAAATACATGTACAAATCACACAATTTAGTTTCGTTGCAGAAAGCTGTGGCACTGCTACTTGGTGAAATGCAAAACTACATGGGATGAGTCAACCATGCAAAGCCAAAGCAACAGCAGAAAAATAAAACAAAAGCAAGTAAAGGCTCTTACTGTGCGACAAGCTCGTCAAAGTTTTCATCGGGGCAGTATTTGCGAGGACGGCCTCGTTGAATATGGCGGCCACGTTTAAACTCTTCATCATCAACTGTCCAAAAGGACCCAAACTCATCCTCTACTCTGATAAAGCACTTATGCAGTGAGAGGTTGGTGCGAATGGCACCCTGGGATAGGAGCAGCAGCAAAGGAGATGAAGTGGCAACAAAAGGAGACGGGGTTGGGGGCAGAACAGACATCCAATACAGGGAACAGGAAAAAGAAAATAAAATGCAATAAGCATAAGCAAATGGTTTGTGAGGGTTAATATGCATTGCCACCTAAAAGCTACTAGCATGTGATGCAACAAAGACCAGCAAGCAGGGCAGGGGGACTGGTGGGTATACAAAACAGGAGGGATGAAATGCTTTTTTGCTTCCCTTAACTGAGACAATGTGAAACCAGTTCTTTGGTCTAACACCATCTAGCAGCCAAAGCCTCTACGTTACACTTGTTAGCACAATCCAAGCTAGGCTAAGAAGTTCAAACATGGTGGACGTACCCACTGATCTTTTGTGGCCTTCGTTTTTGGAATTCTACTTCATCCACTGTCCATACTGCCCCTTTAACGTTTTCTACTCGCACAAAACACTTGTGAAGACTAAGATTATGACGCACTGCATTCTGCAGCAAGTATAAAAGAGAGAACATTTACATTTTCTGTAAGAAAAGACTCCAACAACAGCAGTACATTCAGCCTAATAGTCCACATTTGTAAAACCATCCCAAGAACTTTAGCTACCACCCCCATGGAGGATATTCTTGTGGTTGAGGGTGTCTTTTCTGATGAAAATTTAAAAATCCCCAAAAGTATAAATGAATTGTACTGTGGTGTTTCAATCTAGTCTCTGGTAGTACCTAACCAGAAGAAATATCAGTAATATAAATACAACCCAGAAGTAGGTTCCATGATACAACTCTGAATATATTGTTACTATGACTTCAAAATAGATGACACAGAACTAGTTTTTTGAGATTCATCCACTTCTCATTTTGGAAAGGGTGGTTTGTTTACTATTAAACCATGAAAGATGAAGACTTAATGAATATATGGCAGTATCTGCCTTTGAAAAAGCACATGGGTTTTATTCTAAACAGGATTTTACCACCGAGAGTATCACCTTGTAACGCCAGTGGGAGCAGGGGGTAAACTCAGCCCCAGGGGATCAGTATCCATGATCAAGCTTTCTCTTACTTCCCTAGTATATGTGAGCTGGTGCTCGCTATAGAGGAGTAGCTTGATTAACTGAATGAATGCCAAGCAACACAGGAGCAAGACCCCGGATAGCAAAAGGACTACATCCTGCAGTTCTGGGCTTCTGCACACAAATATTTCGAAGTCATTTCTGGCCATTCCTAACCCTAACCTGAGACTCTTCAGGTTTATAACCTACTAAAATCCCCAAGATGGGGCTCTCAATTCAAGAGTGAGCAGCTTTCAACATCTCATCTTCCCTTTGTGTTTCGGGAAAACACACAACCTTCGCTGGGTCCACAAACAAGCATGGCTTCCTTTTGTTAGTCCTGCCTCGCTGAACTTGTTGATGCAGACGCAGTGTTGGACATGAGGATATTATAAAGAGATTTACTTAAAACTTTCTCCTCATATGGAATAAGGGCCTCAATGGGAGCACGAGATGTAAGTGCATATGCTGCACCGCACACACCGTATGCCTTTGTTCAACTTCAATAATCTTGCTGTTGCCCAGCCACTCTGCACCCTGAACCCCTCTCCTTCCACCACCTGTAGCATCTGCTCTCTGAACGTAATAAAGGTGGCAAATCTTGACACCTTGAGAGAGGTTTCAATTTTTAGACAATCATAACTGGCGACTCTGAGGATTCAGGCTAAATACATTTTTCCTCCGCAAAGGAATATTTGGAAGATAATGAGACAACTTTTATTGCATGGTGTGATGAACTGCTCACAAGGAGAATCCATGGGATAAATTCCCAGAGTTTTTGAACAGTATCAGTGTAACTGGGCCAGATTCACGATATTGAGGAGACTATCCAAGGGTATCCTTGATTTAAACAAATCTTGATAGGTTTGCTTAAAAACCAAACTCTTAAAAATACTTGGCACATCACAGTTATTATTTGGTAGGGTAAATTTCTTTGTGTCTAAAATTGTGAGCTACTTTTTAAGCAACTGAGTTGCACATAGGCATGGGACACTAAAGGTCCTCTCCTTGAACAACATGGAGGAGATAGAAACAATACAGCCAAACTTCCTTAAAGAATCCAGGGAGCACGTTTCCATGTAGGAGACACAGGTGGAAAAGTAACAGACATTGTTCTGATCACTGATGTTTTAAAATAAGTATTAAGATGTACAGAACTCAAAGAGCTATAAAGCTACTCCTGATAAAAGAATTCATGTACATCTGGCCGAACAACACAGCCATGAAATTAATATAAGATACAAGGCCAAAACTTAAGTTTTCTTTTCCAGGGCTTCACATTAGCAGAAAGCAACTAAAAATCAAGAATTTTCAAAAAAGATGAGTGAACTCTTTTCACTCTTAACTTTAATGTGGGCATTTCGTCTTTTGTCTGAGACCACAGTACCAGTAAGGACACACAGAGAAAATTATATGTATTTATGAGTCATTAAATACTTCATCTAGGGTTGTTTATATTAATGACACTTTTTCCTGTACTTTGCAGAAATGAAAAAGTTGCATCTGAAGATCTGAGCTTAAATTTATATTCATACTGGTGATTATGTTTAAATTTGATCATTTGGTATTTATAAAAGGCAATTTAAAGGAAATGTCTGTTTTATTCTCTTCTATTTCCTACATTTTTAAAGGCATTTGTAGCTAACGAGCCTTTGTATTTTATCCTGCAAGGCAAGCTAAAGAAAGCAGTAAGATTTTGAACACAGGTTCCCTTCAGGGGCCCTGTGCCAATGAATGAACTCTCTGGTTATATTACTTTTCTTTTCCCTGCAGTACTGAGCACTGAATCAAGGACCTTTACACTGAGTTACAGCCCCAGGTCTTCTTTTTTTTTATTTTGAGGCAGGGTCTTACTAAGTTGTTCCGGTTGGGCTCAAACTTGTGATCCTCCTGCCTCAGCTTTCCAGGATGCTGGGATTACAGGTGTGTGGCACTACATCTGGCTTCCTTTTCTTTTAAAATGCTCATCATAAACTTAATAGAGGCAATGTGTTTTGTTTCTCTCCCATATAAAGTAATAGCAGAGAAGGCATTTATTTCAATTAAAGCAAGTTTTCCTTGTATCCTATAATAAATCCCGATCATGTTTAGACTAATGACATGTAAAAATCCTAAAATGTTTGTATTAAAGGTGTCTAAATGTTTTGGAGTGCGGGGATTAGAATTCCAGGTAGTAAAAATACAAACATATACGTGCCACTGTACATGTGCCCTCTTCTACCCTAGAACCAACTGCTGAGCTGAGAACGAGCAATGTCACATGACCCCAAGCATTGTTGGGGTCATCTAACAGAGCTATGGAACTTGACCTGGTTTACAGCAAATGGTATTATAATAAAGCTCCATGATTTAGAGGCTACTTTTCTTCTTCAGGTTATCTATGAACCTCTGAGGGAAAAATCTCCTGACTTAAAACACTGTGTTGTCCTGTAAGAAGTTTCCATGTACAGCGCTAGCACTTGGATGGCCCAGCTTTTTCTGCTAATTGGACTGATGAGCTTTTATGCAACCAGCGCAAGTTGTGTTCAGTTTGATAATTTCTCTGGGTTGCTAATGGTGAAAAAACAGCTTGCCTCTGCCTCTCCGCAAATGTTGGGTGTGGTTAAACACCCAACGGTATGGGTCTGTGTAAGCAACAGGACAACCTCAGAGTCAGGGCAGAAATGTCACTGCCTTCTTTCTACGTATTCCAGGTGGGGAGAGATGGCTCCCCTGGCTGAGCCATGAACATATCAGCTGCCAGTACGATGGGCATTTTTCCTCTTAGCATTTCAACCACAATGGAGCTTGCCTCCCAATCAAATATTCCCATAAATTGGGTGCTCTGAGTGTATTAAAACAATGGAAGTGTAACTTTCTTATAGCCCAATAACTGGGTTTTATCGACAACTACCTCTGCCTTACAAAAGTCACAATCCAAGGCTAAAAGAGGCCTGAGAGAACACTTACCTTCCACGTGGCTGCATTGCGTCGGAAGTAAGCAAACATTCGTGTGAACCAGTTATAGATTTCATTTAGTGTTAGCTGCTTTTCTGGAGATTCAAGGATGGCCTATAAATAAAAAAAGGTATCAGAAGAAAATAATTTATGATCGATTCAGCAGAATTACCATTATACAGTTTCTTAAAAATATAAAATAACTATGATTCAGAGCTAAATCGTAAGCAAGGTTTCACAAAATGATCTAAGATTAATGGTTGTATTTAACAGTTCAATAGCAAAACTCAAAATGGAACTATCTAATTGTTTTGAGTTTTTATTTCTGTTTCCGTACAGAAATATTAATTTATTAGTCATTCATAAAGCAGAATCAAAGAGAAATGCAAAACATTTCACTAGCTGATTAAAGCTCAGTAATTATTTAGAGCTCAGATTAATTCTAGGGATCAGAGATTACTGTAGCTTGTGATAATTGACTTGCCATCTTTAAACAGGCTCATTTTCACTGTTGTGTGAAATGAATTTCCTAATAATCACATCGTATTGTAATACTTAATCAAAAGCAATTATGTTATATATTGCAGTTTTAAAAAACCTTATAGAAAAGGTTTTAGCATGCTTGCATACTAAACGGTTTTAAATCTATTTCATCAATATAACATATCCTTGTACACGTACACCTTCTGCTATAATTCCATATACTGTGTTATTTACTTACCTGCCTAATTAAAGATGCATATGTAAATGGTGGTCTAACTTCTGCGTTCTTATAAAATTCTTGGTTCTGCGCAATATCTGCTAAATAAGAATCATTGTCCTATTAATTATCACTTTTTTAAAGAGGAACTGATTGGTAACAATTGCGTGTTACAGTTCTACGTGAGGCAAAAATGGAGCAGCTACCTGAAGAAATGGGCACGTTGTATTTGTCTGAGTACCGCCTGCGGATGGGGCCCACCGTGTGCATGCTGGTGGTGGTGATGACAGAGGGGCCCTGGGTGACAGGAGTCAGGGGAGCAGTGGGGGTCGTTGGCGTATGAGGTAAGCTCTGTGGAGAAGCCTCCGACGCGGACTTGGAGAGGGTGACACTTGATACCAGATTGAGCTGTGAGGAAAAGAACATAGCTTAGAAGACCTGAGAAACAAAGCAAACAAGAAAGCATCTCACATCCAGCAGGCACGAAGGAGAGGACGCCTGGCTAATGTCACTTCTCGCAGGAGGCATGTTTATAAACGAGTCACTTAGGTTTGGTGTAAGCTATCTCTTGCAACACTCTCTTTTCTTTTCCACGAGATAGGTATTTTCCGAAGACTGCCAAATGGATGTTTACAGATGCTAAAAGGGATTATCCAGCAAAGTGAGTTTGAGAAACCCTAGATCACCACAGTTCTTTAATCACACCCCCTTTAGTAACCTCAGAATCCTCAGCAGCACCAGGCAGGAAAGATGCTGCAGTGAAGACCACGTGGGATACCAAGGTACAGACCTGAGCTGTTCAAAACAACTTTCCGCAGTGTGCTCACCCAACTGAGGAGTGGTGTTTGTTCACTTTTTTGTGAAATTAGTTTCTGTTTAATTTTAATGGATTTAAATTTGAGTAGCCCCATTGGCTTGGAGCTGGCAACCTGGTCAGCAGGAGGATGGGCTCCTCAGCTCCATCCGGAAAGTTCATGGACGTGGGACCCACTGCCAGTGTCTGACCGGGGCTCACACCAAAGACTGGCCCTCAGCCAGAAATCCGTCATCTATTTCTGTCAATTGGCAGAGACTAATCTTTAAAAGCTTTATGTGCAATGGTTATTAAACTCTATCAAATAAAGGACTAGCACCTATTAATTTAAAAAGAACACGGCCTATGAGAGATTCAGAACTATAAGATTTGCTGATATTTTTCTTTCAAGTTTCAAATGTTGCACGAAAATGAAATAATCTACTGATTCAAGTAAGGAAGTGAGTTATTATTTATTTGAACTGGCACAGAGGAAAATGAATGAGTGCTTTTCTGATTTACTATGTCTTACCTTCACCTTATAGTGCTATTCTTACAAATACTACAAGGGACAATCCTTTTCCAAAATTTATGGGAACTGAATTACTATTGTATAAGTTCAGTGATGAAAAATTTGGTGGTTTCTAGCATATTTATTACCGTTTACAGAATTGCTCAGACACAGATAGAGTCTTCCCCCAATCCAAGGGACCTGAGTAAAGCAATCCTGGTAACAAAACTTTCCCAAACCAGCTTTCAACTCCCTCACCATATAATAAGTCTCTTTCACCACAGTTATAGTCAATCTTAAACACAGGGCATTATTTGAGACAGGTATTAAAAAGTAGAGTCCCCCGAGATCCTAATCAAAGCACATAATAAAAGAGAGTTCTGGTATGTTGAGAAGACACAACCCTTACTCACACTCCAGTAATGAGGAAGGCCACGAGAATCCTCCCTGCCTGATATGCTTAGGGGAGTTCCAAGGGATGAAGAGAAAGATCTCCTACGGCTTAAGAAAAAGGCAAACCTGGAGCCAAATGCTGGGCTTGAGTATTCACTTGTGCTCTTTATATTTTCAGCCTAAAAGGTTGACTCAGCAAACCACAGACCCCTTGGCCCCGAAGCTCGAGAAGAAGCCGCAGAAATGGCACAACGTTTACTACTGTCTCCGCTCCCTAGCAAGCCGGGAAGCTATGGGGCCATCTCAGCAGCCCTGGAAACCTGACCTGGTGACAAACATTTGCAAACCAAGTGCTAACAGTTTAGAGCAGCAGCCACAGGATGGGACAGAGCTGAGAGGTCAACGGGGAAAAGCTGGTGCTGACCCTTCCTCGCCTCAGGCCTTAATCGCTGACCAGGTCCAGGAACAGTATGTATCAGCATCTGCTGGTGCACAGGGTCAAGGAAATTAGTGCATAATGCTCTTAAACACACAGCTCTTATAATCAGATGCTGCGGAGCCAAAGAATATCAGAACACTTCAGAAAACTCATGAAAAACATTTACAAAACTGCTTTAGAACACCTGCCTCTGTATGGTTTCAATGATGAGATGTTACTCGTGTTTTACAGAGAAGGAAACCGAGGCTTGTTCATATTTCCAACTTGGACCAAAGCTCAACCCATCTACTCATAGGAGTCTAGACACTCAGTATAATCTCTTTACTCCTCGTTAATGGAAAAAATAAATACTAGTTTTACTTTTCTGTTATGCTCACTTTGGAAATGATTCAGTGTGCAGCTTTTATCCCTGCTTATAAATGACATTCAATAAACATTCCTGAGTAGCAATGAGGTGGCCTGTCCTGTAATGACAAAAGCAGGAATAAAATGCACAACTGCTGCCCTTGAGAGCTTACCACCTTGAAAGCACACACTGGCCAAGGGCAAACATACACACAAACCGTACCATTCTGGGGAAGGAGAATGCTTCTTGACTTCTATTTTCACCTAAGGACCCACCACCCTAAAAACATGTCACAACTTTCTTTAAAACATAACAAAAATTATGAACACAAACGTCCTTAAGGTATTTTAGGGACACATGTTCCTTTCCAGCTTTGTGGGGAAGATCATCACATCCAACCAGGTTCCAGTTTAGCTGTCCTAAATCGATGCTAAGGTAAATCCTCAGCAAGTGCAAGCCCCTCTTTTCAGCTCCTCACACCTAAGAACAGACCAACTCCACTGACATGTCATTAGATGCAAAAAGAATCTGACCCTTGAAGCCTCCACAAGGATTCTAATTCTTGGACCATTTCTACCAGTGAAAGTGACAAGGAAAAAACGAAATCCATCCAGGTAGCACAGCCCATGAAGAAAAGAGATTGCAGGCAGCTTTGGGGGATGCTTTTGAATGTCAGTGGCAAGCAGAAATAAACAGTGCCAGGAGAGAGCAGAGAGAGGGGTTCACCAGCCTTGACAAATGACACTGCGATTCGCACCCACTGCTAGGCTGTCTCTAACAAGCCACAGAGGAAGCAGCGAATCTCAGCTAATTACCAGATAAAAATGTATTGTAAGGACTCTAATTAGGAGACGCGGATGGAGGTGATCTAATGATTAAATGCTGCATTCCACTGACCCCACCATCAATGTGCAGTGGTGCAAGATGTCACCGGAATATTTTGTAGAAACAGTAATTTTATTTCAAGGAGGGGAGGCAGTAATATTTGTAATGATGGCTATGAGGTAAACTAATTAGAAGACAGTTCCTAGAGGAAGAGGGTGGCTGAGAGCAGCTGTGGCCATCCCAAAAGCAAGTGCCAAGTCTCCATAGAGGAGCTGCAGTCAAGTGGAAAATTTCTGCCTGACCTCTGCCCTTGCTATTAATTTGCAGGAAAACTAATGACACATATACATATTCCCACAAAATTGTTCTAATTGCTAATTTGCCAAAGGAGCCCTGATTCCAAATTAAACATGACTACAGCCTGTGAGGGAAGGAAGAACAAAAAGCTGTAAACTCTAAATAGACGGTGCTTTGCCACGCAAAATCATCTGCAGGCTGAACCCAACAAGTTAATGAAATGTCAACCTTGTCAGCTGTTACAGAAGTTTCCTAACTTTTCAACTTCTGTCTGAGGATCACATGCTTGTCGAGAGGAGAAACCATCTTGGCAAGGGAGAGAGAAGATGGAGCACAAGGAAGGATTCAAAATAGGCTCCGTTCAAACCAAACCAATTCTTTCAATGAAGGTCTCTCTGAAGAAAGGGGACCACGAAAAGATTAACCACAGACAGCAGAAGAGCGCGTCAGGAACAACGCGGGTTCTGCTGTAATCTTGAAATATTCATCTTCATTGTAAACTATGAAATCTTAATATCATCATCAATTAGAAATGAAAGCATCTGTGTTTCATGTTTCTGATTATAGTTAAGGTTTTAAAAAAGATAATTTTTTTCAGGGGCATGGAGCAGGAAGGGATTGGGCTGGGAGGGTTTCTTTTCCTGATGGAAAGCCCACTTTTCTTATTGTATTCAACTGCTATTTAAAAAGAAGTTGCTATGTTTAGAAAAATGGGTAAGTCTGATTATTTTCTACATGGCAAGATTCCATCATGTGATGATTTCAGCAAAGATAATCTCTTTGAAACTCTGGCCAAAAGTTAAATTCTTGTGTCCCTTAATATTGTTGTATGGTTTTTAAAATAAAAATAAAAGCAACTATGCTCTCAAGCACCATCTCTGCCCTCCATTTGGTTACCGAGGGAATCTCCTGGATGCTTTGCCATCCAAAGGATTCAAACTCTATCAACTATCCAATGTTGTCCTTAGTCCTGTTCCTTTAAAAAAATTAATCTGTAGTTTTTCAGCAACAATCTCCTCTCCTGCGTACAGATGAGTCACTCACATTAAAAAAAAATAAACAAATGGCTGATGTAAACCCCAGACAGAAACAGCCTTGTTGTGAGTATTCCCATAAGAACCGTTTTTTGTTTTTGTTTGTACTCTTGCCTCACATGAAAACAGATCATGAGAACAAAAGACAAACCTGAAACCAAAACACTAAAACCGAGGCTGCATAGTAGGGACTTTCAGGCTCACAGAACTGGTTTTTCTGCTGTTAGTTTTACTGGCCTAAGTGACTCAGGTCTGCGCAGTTCCGGGAGAACTGCAGAGGGCCCAGCAGCTGCATTTCTAGGCATGACCATGGAGTTCAGAGATGATGCTGGTGCCAGACCACGGGGAGGGCAGGACAGCAGGCAGCAGCTGGTGGCCTTTGTTAGGAGCCTTTGCTTTCCTTCCCTGTCTCAGCCTGGCCGGGTACGAGATGCTCAGAAGACGCACCAACAACAGAAAACAGCCAAACTGACACCAGAAACTACAAAACCTGAGCTGAGGTGAGAGGTGGTGACTTAATGAAAACCAGTCCATAGCGCACCTTTTATGTGCTGCACTTGAGAATCCTTTTTTATGATGTCCTGGTATTATTTCCCCAACTCTACAGCAAGGCCCTAGCAGCCTACACTGTCAGCCACTGCCAGAAGAGTTAACAGGCCCTTTTTTCAGAGGGATCACACTTTGTTTTTCTAGTAGCTAAAAGCTATTTCAAAACAGTCCTAATCGCCATGGTTAGAGTACCAGAAAATGTGTAAAAAGAAAAATCTAAATACCGCATTTCATTCCAAATGTGCTCTATGACATTTTCATAAAGAAGGCTCTACTACCTACACCGTAACTTCCTGCCCACCAAATCTGAAAGAACGTGGTTTCTTTGGGATGAGGAGTGGTTCTCTGATGTGCAGGAGTACTCTACAGCCAAGCAAACCTCCCATGTTCTCATGCATTGCAAAACAGGCTTTTACAGTGTTCTCCTGACATCATGGTAGTGAAAAGTCTTGTAAAATAATCCTTAACAATTTAATAAAGTCCTAACAGAAATGTTTCTTGTTTTGTCTTCTGAGTTGTGCCTCCTCCACCCAGGAAATACCTTAGCAAGCCCACCTTGGGGTAAGCATGGGCAACAGTAACCTCCTAGCAGTATACTACAAGCAGTGCTGTCCACTTTGAGAATCTTAGTGCAGTGGAGACAAAAGGCGATTGGTCATTTCATTATCATTTTCTTGTGTTTTTGCTTCTGCTTCTTTTTCCATTAGAAAGGAAAGAATCTTTTAAAACTTAAAGTATACCAAGTTGGCCACTCTAAACCTAGGCCAAGAATAGTCTTTCTACTCTAGATACTCAAATGTTAGAACTGAACAGCTGCTAAGTATTTACAGATGCTTTTCCATGCAGGGCTCAGCCTTAAAAACATTAAAGAAAAATCTCTCTCACTTAGGTGATGCTGGCTATTCCTTCCCTTCCTCCACGTTAACTCTCATTACCTACTTTTCTTTCCCAGTTCCTATCCTCAGAGACACAATGACAAGTGCACCCACTGTTCCTCACAAGAAAGATCTAGGAAGTGGATTTCTCAGAGCGTCTTCCTATGTACCTTTTAGATTGTAGCAGAGGCATCACTTCTTCAAAGATGTCTTCTTTGACCTCACTTTCCAATTCACTTACCCTACTCACACGCAGCACAAGCCAGGCCACGGCAGTGTGTGAAGGTAGTTATTAGTTTCCTTCCCAAGAGTCCGAACACCTCACTGGCAAGGACAGGCCTTTCTCATCTGACTACTCATTGTTCATTATATTACAATACTGTGGACAGAATGCAGTGGTACCTTGGCTCATGAATTTAATTCGCTCCACAATTCTGGAAAAGATGGCCATACTCATGTTCATGTGGGAGAGATGACTACTGTTGTGTTTGTCTCCTGATGCAGAGTTTGCGAACAAAGAACTCTGCCAAACATCGTGGTTTGTGAACCAAACTGTGTGCAAACATGAGAGTTCATGAACCAAGGTACCACTGAAACAACCTGCACTTTGAGCCCTGGGTATAATTCCGGGAGGAAAGGTTTTTCACATATGATGGCAGCAGGGAGACATATTACTGAGAGAGGGACGGGAACGGGGACCCATGCATCCTTCCCATGTGCAACAAGCTCTGATCAACATCTACAACCTGAGGCACTGTCCTGAGATAAGCACACCTTTTAAACTATCCAGACCTGAAGATGAGCTCTACAATGGGATCCAGGAAAGACATCTCGGAGCTGAAGTGAGAACAATCCAAGAACATGTGGGCAGCCTCTCTGATGCAATGAAGTGAGGATAAGTTGGACAACTGGATACAACAAATGACACTTACTAAGCAAATGGCATTTAGTGAAGGGCAACATTTACAGCAGAGCGTTTTATCACTTAGTGACTAAGAATTTTTAAATAAACACAAAGTTCCTCTTAAACAGAAATGGAAAAAGGAAACAACTTCATAAACTTACTGGAAAGGTTATAACACGAAAGTCCCCATCTATGGTTAGATCTGAGTCTCAGCGCCTGCTTGTTTCAAGTCAGATTCTAGAAGGATACTCATGCAAACACACATGAGGCGTTCTATCATTAGGGTGGGAAAATTAATTTTAGGCTATAGGATTTTGTTCATTAGGATCAGTCACTAGGTAGTTCTGGGTCTCAAAAGTTGAAAGCATCAAGGGTTTGCAGTTCATGTGTGCCTTTTCTTTCTCTCTCTTTCTCTTTTTTTTTTGGCAAGGAAGTGAAAATTTATGCAAAACATTACATGTCTATCTTTTATAATTAATTTTCCAATGCCTCACCTATACATATTTTAATAATTCCTGATTTATAAGATGGTATCTATAATAAAATTTTCTATTTTCCAATAAATGAAAAGAAGGCAGGTTCCTTCCAACAACAGAGTGTCACACAATATCTGCTTGTCAGGCACCAATTTTTACTTCTTACATGTAAGTTAAAGGATAAGGAATTTATAATGCTGCCTGTGAAGGAACCACTTTTCATACACAAATGTGATCTTTTTTTTTCAAAGGGTAATACAACAGTACATTTACATAAACTAATCCAAACAATCTATGTATTTGACAATGGCAAACCTCACACAGACGGCCTATTGTTGGTTTACATCTTGGAGTTCTTTATATTGGCTTGTAGCGCTGCTCTAGCTGTCAAAGGTTTGACTTGGACTCTAAATAAATGGTTATAGAAGTGCTGTGCAGCGATATTGGACTTCTTTGCAAAAGAAAACCTGCTGTGTATGAATTCAAAAGCTATTAATTTTTCAGTCAAAAATATTCGTGCCTATTTCTTTTAATAAAGAAATACTGTGCTGAGCTACTAAGAGATAATGTTGACTAGTGGTAGAGAATTTTCAATAGAGCAGTTAAAAATAAATTTAGTAGGAGGTCCCCTTCAAAGTTATAATTTTCTAGAACGTAAAGCATTTTTTTATACTCATCAAGACAAACCTTCCTGCCCTGTTCGTTCCTCTGCAGCGGCTTTTCCTGTTTACTGGTTCTTAGCCCGGGTCCACACGGACATTTGGTAATAGTTCTCTTGCAGCCTGGTGTGGCGCTGCCAGCGAACACCTAGGCCTCTTGCTAGCTGGGCACCTGTGGGGATCTTCTGTGCCATTTCTTCAGATGTGTCCCTCCTCTTACTGAGGAGCACCATGATCTGCAAGTGTATTACAAGAGTGCTGGGCCAATAGTGAGTCTATCACTGCTGTTCTCTATCCATGGAGGAACAGGAGATAATCTCATCTTCTCCCTCAATGCTAGGTGTAAAGGCTAAAACCCTTCATCCTGCGGAAAATAGTTTCACTATAATCTGAAGACCTGGAGAGTTCCAAGGCACCCAGAGCCCTTTGGGGCAGACTATGCCTGTTTTTAGAAGGCAGTCAGCTCATGTCAGGGTCTTACCAACAGGGTTTGCTGAATTCATGTTCTCCCACATACCCTCCTTAAAAGGGACTGGAAAGGAAAAAGCGCAGTTGGTGACTGATTCCACAGTACTGAATGGCTTGGTTCTTTTTTTTTTCTTCTTCTCTTTTTGGTAGCCTACTCCTCAGTTTAACAGCCATTTACTGTGAAATACATGGAAACTAAGGACTCTTTCCTAGTAAAAATGGATGCGCGAAGTGTTTAATGATTTTATGTCCTATATCTCAGTAATGTGTTCTGTTTCAGACATTAATTTTGTCTGCCAACTGCATCTTGGCAGGCTACCATATTTGCTGGGTTAATAGTCTGACTCCGTTTTATTTCTATCACCATAAATCATACATATATGGGTGTGTGTTTGCTTTATTTGTAGAAAAAAATCAGTCAAAACAGATAAACCAATACTTTGCTATTATGCTGCATCATTGCATATTGATTAAAATTGCTGGTACTAACTATAGATTGTCAACGCTCAATTAATTTTCACACAGTGACTCCCAGCAAAATCAAATAAAAGCAGTGTACCTTTAAATTTTACAAATCTTAAAATCAAGGAGCAAAGCACTGTCTCCATTTTGAATAATCAGTTTAAGCTACTAAGAGATTTTCAGAAATAGAAGCATATGAGAGATACAATGGCAAAAGGGATCAATTCATTACAAGGAATGAGATCTAAGGCAGCTCTGAGGCTCTAGATGCCATTCTCCTGCTTCGGTACAAATTGCCTATGCTGGGATGGTGTATTTCAAAGTCCAGTAAAAGGAAACAAGGCAAGAAATAGGAGACTCTCTAAAAGTAAAAGGTAATCTCAATGTGTCACATGTGGGCTCCTGACTGTGGAAGAGTAATTCTCACTTCAGAATCCTTAGGAACCACTAGACGGTCCTCATAATTTAGCCCCTCACAATTCTACCGGCGTGCTTCCTCTTTCTTTTGCCTGTTACAGTTCCTTGGGACCACTCCTTGCTCCTTTTCTCCTGCAGTACTCTCAGCTTGCCCAAGCCAGCAGGCCTCTTTCTTCTATTACCACGGTCTGGCTACCTTCTCTGCGTTCCTGCCATTCAGAATGATTTCCTTTCTCCACAGAGCTCCTACAAAACACTTTAGTACCTTCATTTAACACCACTCTGTTTCAAGGAAGAGCTGGTTCTCAGGTCTCAAGGGTGAGCACCACGTATGGATCACACCGTGTCTCGCCAACGCCTAGCACACTGGAACAGTTAAGAGAACTGAAGGCCTCTGACATTTATATCAGCCAAAGGAGCTGTTCTCCTCCCCATGCCGGGACGGAAAGCATAAAACAAGGAGCGTAAGTTTCGCTCTGTGTTTTGCTACTTGGTGGAGCATTACTTACGGGCTGAGGGGCAGCTTTGGGTTCTGTGGACTTCACATGCAGATGGGTCATCATGGCTTGCAGCCGCTCCTTGTCTTTTGCAAGCTAGTAAGAAGAAAGGGCTTTGTTATTTTTTTGAATACAGATACAAGACTGTTTTAATGTTCCACATTAGACATATTCCAAACAACTACACCATCACAGCACATGACAAAATCATTTTCACTGCTTGTTTCTGAAATCTACAGGGCCACTGCCAAGCTCCAAGTAACCGGAGGCGGCACTGAAGTTTCTCAACACAATATGCAGTAGACTTTAACTAGGATATTCTAGACCTGCTGGCACCAAGAAGCCCCATGGAATACGGACAGCTAAAGACTAATGTGAATCATGCTTATTAACCATCCTTACTCACAAGGAGGCCAAAGGAAAATGAGGTAGGCAGCTAAAACTCATAAATTCATCTGTTGTGGTTGTGGAGGAACTCCTAGACAGAGGGGTACATCTGTGCAAAATTCGCCTCATCTTCTTTATGGGTAAGCACAGATTAAGCCAGTGCTGGCAGGTGACACTGGCAGGAAGGAACAGGGACACAAGGGCTGATGGGGTCCCATCTTCAAGTGAACAAATAAGCTTATTCATTTATTCAATATTTAAGGACATGCTACGTGCTAGTCTGGTATTAATAGTTTACATATCTTTATAAAATTATCTTCTGATGTTACAGGTAAGTCCACTGGATGTACACAGCAGGCACTCACTACTTATTGGATAGTACAGGCTTTATGCTTGCTTTGGACTATTAACACAATGATACTTTTGGTAATTCAGGACAGCCTGGCATAGGTAACATACAATGACTTCTGTAAAAGAAGTGGACAATGTATCCACAAAACATAAAGACACATTTAAGAGAACTTATGGGATTGAGAGGAAGATGCAAATGTGATTAATGAGACAGACAGTCAGACAGACAGAACATGAGAATGAATGAATACAGACACAGTTTTATTTCAGGCACTTCTGGAGAACATTTGTCTTAGGGAGAGGCTTACTGTATGTCACATCATTTACCTCAAACCCTTTAAGCAATTTTTGGAGGTGTAAAATTATCCGCAAACTGAACATGATTCAATTTTTAAAACAGTTATTTTCTGAGGTGATAGGGACTCAAAAGTTGGAAGAAGGCAGAAGAAAAAAGGACAAAAAGGGATGAGAAAAAGCTTTCAGCTTATCCTAACTGGATGACTCAGTCTCAAGCCATATCACATTGGATTTTTTTTATTTCTTTTTATTCCCTTGTGATTCAGGGAGAATAAATTAAGAAGAAAAAAAAGCCTTACAGTGTTAGCATTTATCTTTCAACAAACAGGAAATGAAAATGATACCATATTAGGAGCCACTTTATGTTCTTTGCTAAGTTATTGAACAGCCAAACTAAAAGATTCTCTGAGTACATAATGCTAAAGGAATTTAGTTTTCCAAAGTGGCTCCGTTAGAACAATTAAAATGTTGGGAATGACATTTTCCTACAGTTATTCGTTTTTATGTTAAGTATTCTCTAAGTTTTTTGATGTTAAAACTAAAATATTCTTGGATTAAAATAAAAGTTTGGTTTTAAAGTTGTCATGGAGTAGAAGGAATTAAGGCACATTAGTTGCTCTTTTGTTAAAAACAAGAAGTAGCTTGCCCTGCTGAACAATACAAATTAAAGGCTAAGAGGTGTTATTTACTGGAGAGTCTGCTGAATATTAATTGTGACTTAATTTGGGGGTAAACATTGTGGATGCAGCAACTACAGAGACCAAGTTTAGTAAAAGGGAAATCCAAATTTCCAGCTCTGTACTTGATCCATCTCTATATGGAATCATCTCTGTATTGGATCCAAGCATCCAGTGGGCTGGTCTCTTACTGGTCAGTGAAAAGCAGTTCACGTTCTATTGCAAACACCCACCTACAATGTGTATACCCAGTCACATCCACAACCCTGAAGACAAGTGCCATTAGGAGTATTTTTTATTTTTCCATGAGAACATTATTGAAAATTCATCATCCATTTTGAAGTTCCAGAGAACTCAACTCTACCACCCTACTTCTACCTTTACAGAGGGAGATAAGGTTCCATAAAGATGTAAAAATCCAATTTTTGTGGCTGGTTGGTATAAACTGTCATGTAATATATTTTCGCTTGAGCTTTAGGTAAACAATTTTAGCCCTAACATGCTTTTTTAAAAACATTTCAAGAAAGAAACATGCCAGAGTCACTTTTTTTAAAGGCAAAAACAAGGAACATTTACACCTTTGGAACTTTACCTTCTCTCTTAGATGTCTGTCTTGCATCTATAACACCCACAGGTCCTTCAAAAAGCTTTCCTACTCTTCATTACTTTTTAATTCCATCATTCCAAGAGCTCACCATCCCCATCAATTTTTCCAGCATCCTTTCATTATTACGCTATGAGAATGCAAGCATATTCTATTAGCAAGTATATTCCAGCATTCCCTCTTAAACTGTACACTCCACGAAAGGCAAACAAAAAGTGGTTGAGCAACATACTCCAAAGGTCAACTAAAAATCTGGTTGGCAAACTTCGTTTTTTTTTTTTTTTAAGATGTTGTGATATCAAAAGAGAATTACTCTCTGAAAGCTTTCCTAGAGGGCATGGGATGAGCGCGTGCCTCACAGGGACTGACAACGTGCTACATACTGGTGGCTGTGAGGGCAGAGGTTACTGTGTGTAATTACAGAGTCTGCGCGCCAGTTCTTTGGAAGCACAGGGGAATGACGATGGCGAGGAATGTGTCCAGCACCGGCACTGTGCTGGGCTCAGATTCTGGCTGGGTGATCTAAATGTCTCCTGCAGCTCTCCCACGTACATTCTTCTTCCTCCTGAGCATGGGATAATCATCTCTGAATTCTGAAGGACTGTGCCGAACCTGAGCTACGTTCTTGCACAGAACAGTCCTAACCCAGCCACCGGTGCTTCATTAATGCTCAAAAATATTTACTTTCTCTGTTAAAGAGATGCGCCATCAATCTAGTCCAGACTGGGTGAGTATATGTTTAGAATGTGGATTAGCATTACAGTGATTCAATGGGGTCTGCCACTGGGCTAACTGGGAAGAGAAATAGTTTTGCGATTTGCAAAAAGCAAACTGAATAGAAAAACACAGGAAAGATTAAGCCTACTTTTCGTAGATTTATCTCTTTGGTTCTTACTATTTCCTCTTCTCATTCTAGGAAAATACTTCCCCGCTTTGCCTGGTATAGGTCATCCCCTCTTCTATTAGCCGTGTCCTCAAAGTAGGTTTTAAGATTGCCTAGGCCATAGAAGATGGGATCTTGCACATTGCTCCAGACCCAGGATGACTGCCAAAGGCTAGGAGTTCCATCTAACATCGCCAGAGACAGAAACTATGCGGATTAAACTCATTCTTTTAGCAGAGAAAAGGGAACATAATTTTGGGTTCATTTAACACCTTCATTTTACAAGTTTGTCTTCATTTTACAAGTTTGTCAGAAGGACTAACCATTTTAAGGCCAATATGGCCAGTTCTCCCTCATGAAAAACAAAACTCTGCAGAAATAAATGAAAGGTTTTGCGTGAAAAATGCTACAATCATTAAGAACATGTACAAAGACCGACCAAGCCTTCATTTCACCAAAAGACCGTTGTGGCTGTTTCAAGTCCCCAGCACTAATCTCTTGTTTTATTACTGGGGAAAACCAAGGGTCCCAAGATTAACGTATTTAAGGTCTTGGAGCTGAGAAGGAGCAGAGAGAAGATAAGGATGTTACTTATATGATGCTTTCCCACAACGCCATGACCATAAGGATTACCTGGTATACTAACTATAACACACAGACTTTGTCTCTTCCCTTCACACCCGTGTGGACCTACTGAGGCAGGGCCTCTGGGGAGGAGCCAGGGGATGTGGTTTTAACAGGGCCAATGTTATGAGTAGAAAGTCTGTATAATTCTGGTGTCATGATGAGCCCCATTAAGCTGAAGATTCACTTCAATCTGTTCAGCAAACTCTCCAAGGGAAGGATCTAGAAGCAGGTGCTTTTAATAATAGAGTGCAAGTGTCCAAGTGAAAGCATGTACGTTTAGGAGGTACTACTCTGTCATGGACTGATTAACCTGAAACAGTGTCTGTATAGGTTTCCTCAGGAGTTCTGTATACGGAGACTATCCAAACAAGTGAACCTGATTTAGGCAGAGTGTATTCAGTTACTTAGGGTACTTTCAGCTATGCTGGTCTCTAAAGTGGGTATGACCCGGAGAAGAAAAACACACAAAGCAGTAGCTACAGCAAGGAGTACAACTCATTCTTCTACTGAACTGAGCATTTACCCAACAGTTATTCTTTCCCCACTTTATTCACCTCTGGTAATCCACATGCCTTCCAAACTCAGCACCACTAAAAACTTTTAAAGATTTCATCATCAACTATAGCATTCAGGTGGTGGGCAATCTATGGCTCATTTCATCCCAATCAAAGAATTTCCCTACTTTTATTGTGCTGTCACCATCTTAACATTCCTCACATGTTATTATTAAAGACTCTCTTGACATTTAAAGCAGACACACACTAATACTCAGTCATAGTCTAGGAATTCTAATGCTTCCAGAGTTAGGCAGGACTTTAAATTATGAAAAGTAAGTGTCTTGGTTTTCAAAAGGGGACGTGGAAGTGAGACACCTAGACACGTTCTCCCCTCTTCGTCTTGGCTCCAGTCACAAAGCACTGGCAACACGGGGCTGCAGTCATGCTAGGACCTCACCGTCCCCAACATGCTCTGAACTCACTCCGAGCTCTGCTCCGAGGCAGGAGGGTCTGTGAGGCCACTGCTGAGACAAAGTGTCCTGAGAACTGCCTTGAACGGGGTTAGAAAGGTCCAAAGGGGGACACATTACAGATAATATATTTGCTGAAGTCTAGGAAGCTGGTATGATTACAAATAGCACCGCTAATGGTAGAGTAATCACATGCAAAGTCCATGCAGTAATTGATTTGTGTTAGGATTAATGTCTCCCTCTGCTATTGAAACTTGTGCTCTTTTCTCCCTGCTGACATTTTCTTAGAGCTTACAGTTCCTG